ATAAGACTCATCGGTCACATCGGTCTTATCTGTCTCATCAGTCACATCAGTCTCATCGGTCTTATCGGTCACATAAGTCTCATCAGTCACATCGGTCTTATCAGTCACATAAGACTTATCGTCACATCAGTCACATGGGTCGCATCAGTCTCATCCGTGACATCGGTCTCATCGGTTACATAAGTCTCATCTGTCTCATCAGTCACATAAGTCTCATCAGTCACATAAGTCTCATCAGTCACATCAGTCATATCAGTCCAAATATGTCTAATAAAGTGGAAAAATCCATAAATACGTTGCTTTGCGGTATTCATTGCATCTATTATATGTCACCGCTGACGCGTCACGTTTGTTACGCGTCACCGCCAACAACCCGGAAATGTATGGTATAAAGTTTATTCATTTAAAAAAATTAAAAAAACAATTCCATAACTATATAAAAAGATACAAGAGATTTAAAATGAAAGGCAGCAGAAAGAAGAACAAATCTTATTATATCTGCCCCTTTTTTCAAACAATTAGTTCAATCATAATAATTTTCAAGTAAGAGAACAAAATGAATAACTCTTTCTAATTTTTCTAACTCTAATACAAAACACACTAAGCTATTTCATTTTTTTTTTTTAACAATTCAGCTTTGATCTTTTTCTTAAATGTACACATTGACTTGCATTTTTAACATCACTCTCTAGACCATTCCACAATCCAACTCCTTGGATTGAGGTAGACCTTGTGGGCCAGAATGAATGTGGGCCGGTGTTGTGCCAAAAATCGATTGGCTGCCAACTGGTGGCCGAAGGAGTGTGCACAGGGGGATTTTAACAAGAGTTTAACAAGATTAACACTTAAAAACAATTATCTGTTTGCTCGACTTCAAAGTAAAGGTGCGTCTCATTTGAACTTTTACTTAAGAAATGCACTTAGGTGGTCAAATCAGCTGCATTTCACCGGGGCGGTGCATCGAAATGAAGCTGATTTTGCTCCAAGCGAGCTGAATGAATGTGGTTACTATGGCAAGCCAATTGTGTCATTAATAGCCACTTTTACCTATTAATGATACAACGGCATGCCATACTACTCGAGTGCCATCTAGCAGCTGAAAATGGTAGTGTTCAATATTTTCAGTCAGTATGAATGAAAATGGTCAAATCTCAGCCAAAAATTGGTTTATGAATATGGAAAAAACATAAATACGTAGCTTCGGGGTATTAGTTGCAAAGCATGCAAATTATGCAAAAACACGCAACTTATAGGCCAAAAAATACAGTATGTAGAAATTATTATTATTTTTTTAGTGTGCACGGCTTATTTTCAGGTGCACATAACAATCTGGAAATTACGGTAAACCCAAACAACAAAATATCAATCTGACTGGATTTTTTGTTATTTCTCCTGAAGTTGATCAATTTTCATTCAACCTTTATTTCTACAGGTTAGTGTCATTGAGCCTCGAGGACTCATTTACAAGAGAGACCTGATTTCAACAAAGAACACAGATGAGGTACAGACAATCACATAAAAGCATATCAAATCAATGATCAATTGATATCGATCAGTGTTTTCTATTTGAATTTCCTAAGACCTGAGAACTTTTTACAATCTTACAAGATGAACCCTAAAAATAAAACCAGTACTTCATACACAAACTGCCAAGCCTCCTGAGGACTAAAACTGAGGGTCAGGAAAGCAAAATATCAGAGTGACCAAACGGTGACAAAATCCAGCAGTGTATCTGTTGGTACCTGGTCAAGCCGAGGTCACAGTGGGGTCTCTTTCCATTGTTACGCTCCCAGCGTGAAGAGGCGGAGTCAAGGAGGGACAGAGCCGAAGGCGTGGAGGAGGTGGAACTCCGCCTGGGCTGCGGGGTGGGGAGGCTGTTTCTGCTGCTCAAACCCTAACAGGCAGAAGAAGTTTCATGTTCATCTGGATACTTGTCAAACAAACTGATGGAAGCTTTTCCACAAACATTTTCAAACTTTGGCCAAGTTCAAAATGACTACGCAGCACTCCTCCAAGTGTCTACTAAAGCAAAACAAGACATGATTCTTCAACAAAGCGTTCATTCTGCTGATTGACATTACAGGTGTTGCTAATGGACTTTGTTCCACAGTGTCTTTAATAATGTCAGACACCGTAAAGCCTTATAGTTCCTAAACAGCCTAAATAAAGCAATAAATTATCAGTATCAACACCTAAAGTAGATAGAGGACTAGTTTACAGCTCTAGTAAAACTTTACCCACCTTTATGCCTTTCCTGTCACTTCGCTCTAGAGAGTCCTCCGCCTCTACAGAGTAGAAACCTGGAAAAGGCGTAATGGGGTTCACCCTGGGCCGGCACGAGCCTGAAAACGTCCCCAAGAGGCTGGAGATGCTGCGAAGAGCTGCAATGGTGTTTGGCAGTAGTGATGACTCCATCAGTAGGTCTGACACCAAATTTCTAGCCTCGTTGATGACTGAGAGATCCACCCCATTGCCGCTCGCTGCACCCTGCCACGTGAAGGCAGACATCACGCAGGTTACAGAAGCACTGTCAGAGGGCATCTCCGTCCGTTCTAACAGGGGGACAACTTTAAAAACACATCTTTACAACTTTGAGGAATCTAATGTTCTCATAGATAACCTTGCTGGTATTTCTAATTTCTAACTTCTTCTCCCAGTTCATTCCTCTCTTCTTGTCTCCTAATCCCAGGGTCTTTCACAAGAAGACAGTAATAACAACTTCAGTGTTAAAAAAAGGACAAAACTCCATTTGGAAAGCAGAAAACTGCATATACCAAAAGTTGCATCCCATAAATTGTAAATGCAATCCATCCCAATGTAATCCTTGTGTCTTTTTTTTATTTTAGGATCAGTTTCATTGAAAAAATGTTCCGACTGGGTCAACTTTATGTCAGGAACACGAACAAATAATGACTTTTGGCTCCTGGCAGCTAAATTCTTTCACAGATTATACAAATAGTTCCAAAAGTGCATAGAATGTCAAAGAAAGATAAAAATGTGGCAGGACAATGATTCCAAGGCCACTGTATGCAAGTTTTTTGTTGTTTTTTTACACAATGTTCAGGCGAAAGAAATGTGGGGAAAATAACGAAACGTCCTAAAGGTGATTTTGGTTGAACGACAAGCAACCCTGTTTCTGAAAACAGGAAGATTTTCTGCAAATTTCAAGAAGATGTAAGTTGAAAGAAATGTACTGACCTGATACTGTGGTTTGTACCAGTGTTTCAGATCCCAGTCCCATAAGATCATCTGAAAAAATCCACAAACAGTTGTTACTCAGAAGCCACCAGTTTGTTTCTCACACATGATATAAAGGGAACCTGGCTTTTGACCCGTGGGACAAAAAGGGCACCAGCAGGCCAAACCAGAGAGCAGCACAGCTTTTTGTATTCATTCAACCTTTATTTAAACACGTAAATCCCATTGAGCCTCAAGGACTCATTTACAGGAGAGACCTGATTCCAACAAAGAAAGATGACAACAATGGACAACAGCGACAACAATAAAGAATTATAAAAAGTCATACAATTTTTTTTTTTTAAACAAATAGGATCTCTGCCCAGTGTCTAAATACAATGTAGTAAATTTACATTAAGGATTTTCTGCACCCCTTAAAGCGCTTTATGGCTGCAGGTACAGTTTTTGTACCCAGGCTGAGCAACAGCAGACTGAGGCCTTTCAATGAGAGCAAAAGAAAAAACAAAACACTAAAACCACCACGGTGCGTCTACAATAGAGTTGCAAGATCTTATCAAGCTTAAACTACGTCAATCGGCTGCATTTTCATGCTATCTGTTGGTACCCACACAGGAGTACTCACACTTTGCAGCAGCGTGAGGTCAAAGCTGGCACGTGTTGTGTAACGCTGCGTTGGTAGACGTGGAATGATCTCCAACGTCAAGTGATTGCAGTACTAACCAAACATATACAATTAGTCAAGGAAACATTTACTACACAACTTGAACTTTGGGGGAATTACATTTATCAACAAATGTACACACAAACACAATAATATTTTTAAATTTTTTACCCTGCGTGCTATAGTTTGACTCTGCACCACAAGAACAACACTAACAAAACACAAAAACACCCACAAGCATCATTCTAACACGTAAACACAGACAACTTGCTTTCCCACATAAACAGGGCACACCATGCCAATATTAGGACTGTCGCGATAAACAATAAATCAATTAATCGAATGATAAATGAAAATTATTGACCTCATTTTCATTTATCTCTATCCAATAAAATACTATCTAATAAATATTTATCTAATAAAAGGAAGGAGAGACAGCCCATGTCACATCAATGGGCCTCCTTCACATTTTTCGTAAAGAGACACGCTGCCCGCTCCCTCACTATCCATCCTTCGGTTCAAACAGTCTTATACTGCCATCCAGTGGTTGGAAACAGGTACTACACTCAAAACAAATTAACCAACATTTCTTCATAAATTTGACAGTAATTAATAATTATTGTCAAATTTCAAACAATATTATCGTTTATCGCAATAATCTCTGAGACAATTAATCGCCCAGCAAAATGTATTATTGTGGCAGGCCTAGTCACAATAAAATGTAAAATATAAAACTGTAATCAAATTCAGACCACTTAGGAGTTCAGATGGAGCTACATTGCAGAGAGATGCAGAGAGTGGTGAAGGCTGCACAGAAGATGTCGGAGTCAGTCTCTCCACCATCACAGACATCTACACCTCCAGATGCAGGAAGAGGGCCACCTGCATCATGAAGGACCACACTCACCCAGCACACACACTTTTTGCCCCGCTCCCCTCAAGAAGGAGGTTGAGGAGCATTAAGTGTAGAACCACTAGACTGAGGAACAGCTCTACCCTGAGGCTGTTAGACTCATGAATCTCTAACCAGAATAATCACTGTGAAAAATCACATCATATTGCTGCTGATCTGTTTCATGTTGCTGCTGATCTGTTTTATGTTGCTGCTGATCTGTTTCAATGTTGATGTGTTCATGTGTGCTCATCTGCTCACACAGACTCATGTTCATGTTTGTGCTGATGTTCGACGTAATGTTTTATTTTTATGCTATTAGTGCTTATTGTATATTTAGTTGATATTTTTCTTAGTTCATATCTTAGATGTTATCACTGTTTTTCTTATACATTTTATTGTTGGATGTAACTGGGACCCTGTGAACATAATTTCACTCCACCACATGTACCACATGAGGTGTGAATGACAATAAAGAAACTCTGACTCTGATTAGCCAATGAATTACTTGAAACTTTAAATTTGTGTTTTACAAATTAAAAACTAAATGTCTTGTTTCTACAAAATGTTTTTTTCATTGTGTAATAAAACACAATTAAACGTTAAGAGTTCTAAATTAAGAAAGTGACAACTTGCATCCACATCCAACTGAAATGTAAACCTGTTACACAAAGCAAATAAAGTCGTGTCTCTTGTGGTTAAATGGATCGGAGGGTCCGCTTCTAACCAGCACCCATTTTGTTGGTCAAAATGGGATGTTGGATCTTTGTCATCAGCATCTGTACGATGCTGCCAAACATTTAATATGGCAAATAAGCCCTGCCATGGCAACCCGACATAGAGGCCAGCAAACAATGCTCCATACGCCATGGCAACGAGATGGCGGGAGACGGCTGGAGGACAGAGTTGTTGGCCTTCTGCTCGTTTAGAGAATCAAAAGAAACAAAGAGACGGGTACAGGCTGAAGAAGGAACAATAAGAAAAGGAAGGAGAAAAACTACAAGTGAGACACGGGTAGATAGTAGGCTCCACGTGCACTCCTGACACCGAGCGACGCTCTTATACGTGTCATACAGAACTACGTGTACAATCTGTGAACTGTTAGAACAGCTGGTCATCTAACGCTGCAGTGGTGCCGAGGCAGGAATTATTTACGATAAGTTGTTCTTGTAAGCAGCGAGATCAAATCTTTCAACGACCAGATTTTTTTATCTGACAGAAACGTTTGCTTACAGGAAGAGAAACAACTCAAGACATTAGGCTCATTCACAAGACACCTCAGTCCGGGACGGACATGTCTTTTCCCCACCTCGGTCCATTCAGAAGACACACGGAGGCAGAGAGGGGGGCTGAACCACTCTACCTCTGTAGCGCCTCTTCACCTCCGAGCGAGGTTCAGACCAGTAACTGTCGTCGTCTGAAACAGTGGGCCGACTTTGGGGCTCCAACTGATTAGAATATTGTGACAAAGTGCTGATGTTTGCTTTCAGCGACCACCTAGCCGCGGGATTTAAAAGTCAAATAGCTGGACTTGTTTCGGATTTGAACTGTCGGTGTTTTTTTTTTTTTCAAACAAGCTGTTTTTTGTAAACCTTACATTCAACAACGGCAAACTGGTGATCCTGGGACCTGCTAGCTCCTCGCTCTACGTGCAGAGGATAAAATGTCGCAACTTTGAGTTTAACATAAACATCTCGCACAACAGGCGGCACGGTGGTGCAGTTGGTAGAGCTGCTGCCTCTCAGCGAGCAGGTTGCCGGGTTAAATCACAGTCCGAGGACCTTTCTGGGTGGAGTTTGCATGTTCTCTCCGTGCTGCGTGGGTTTTCTCCGGGTACTCCAGTTTCCTCCCACAGACCAAAAACATGCACGTTACACTGATTGGTAACTCTAAATTGTCCAAAGGTGAAAGATGGTTGTTTGTCTCATTTGTCTCTTTGTGTCCCTGTGATGGACTGGAGAACTGTCCAGGGTGTCCCTCAACTCTCACAGAGTGACTGCTGGATATGGGCACCAGTGACCCCCATGACCCAAAAAGGAAGAAGTGGATAAAGATAATGGATGCATGGATGGATGCATGGATGGATGGATGGGTGGGCTGATATCGCACAACATAAGGACGTGTTACATCACATTCATATGCCATGTCACTGGAAATTTTCTGATAAGATGTCTGTCCCACATATGGACATGGATTCAAGTTGTATTCATTTGTCATATGCAGGTTAACACAGGGTTAATGAAATGCTTAGGATGAGAAGAACCAAACTAACTCACTAAAAACATCAACAAACAAACAAACAAGTAACACTAAAAGCATGCAATAAGGGTACAAAAATAAAGTACCAAAAAGTGAGAAAGTATAATATTTACAACGTCCTAAAGAGAAATAGTAAAGAATAACAACATGGTAGAATATAACGGTGCAGCAGGATGAATTTAAATGAACAAGTATTTCAAGGTAGTAATATAAGCTAAATGCACATGATATCTATATATATCTATCTATAGATAGATATATATAGATTGCACATAATTAACATATACTACACGGGTTGTGTGACAGGTTATTGCACAGGTAGTGACACTGAGACTGAATTATGATGGTAAGGTAGATGCATAGATACAGTATCATGTATGATCCAGTATCATACATGATACTGTATCATACATGATGTATCATATCATGTATGATAGAGTATCATGTATGACACAGTATCATACATGATAATGTATCATGCATGATACAGTATCATACATGATACAGTATCATACATGATACTTTATCATGTATGATATGATACATCATGTATGATACTGTATCATGTATGATACTGTATCATGTATGATATGATACATCATGTATGATACTGTATCATACATGATGCATCATATCATACATGATACAGTATCATACATGATACAGTATCTGTATGATATGATACATCATGATACATCATGTATGGTACTGTATCATGTATGATACTGTATCATGTATGATACAGTATCATGTAATGATACTGTATCATACATGATACTGTATCATTACATTATATCATGTAATGATACTGTATCATACATGATACAGTATCATTACATTATATCATGTAATGATACTGTATCATGTATGATACTGTATCAGTATGATACTGTATCATGTATGATACTGTGTCATGTATGATATGATACATCATGTATGATACTGTATCATGTATGATACAGTATCATGAATATGATACATCATGTATGGTACTGTATCATGTAAGATACTGTATCATGTATGATTCATGATACAGTATCTTACATGATACAGTATCTTACATGATACAGTATCATACATGATACAATATCTGTATGATATGATACATCATGTATGATACTGTATCCTAACCTCACGTCAGAGCAGCTGAGGTTTTCTTTCCACGCCTCTTTTGATTCTGCTTGCTGTACTCTGGAAGCTCGTTTGAGCGCGGGCAGGGAGCGGCTTCATCGGTGACTT